ATAGAGTGGCAAAATATATGTATTCTAGGGGATTTCAACGCTATAGCAGACGGTAAGATGGACTATAAGGGTACTCACAAGAAAAGCACAAGAAGGAAACTACCGTCTGCCTATGTAAATATGGTGAAGGATTTAGATCTTTATGATGTCTGGCGAGCAATGAATGACAAGATGCAACAGTACACGTTTTACTCCCATCCACATAATTCATGGTCCCGTATCGACATGGTTTGGTCAAACTCGGAACAACTCATGGATACTGTAAATATTGAAATAACAACCAACAAGTGGGCCGACCATCACCCAGTCTTATGGCAATGGAAAGGGAAGGCAAGGATAAAAGCTAGGTGGACATTAAACCAGAACATACTACAAGAGAAACAATTTGTACAACAAATAGAAAAGGAATTGGGCTACTTCTTCAAAGAAAACTGTAAAGAGCAGACCTCAATACAAAATGTTTGGGACACGATGAAGGCAGTTGTGAGGGGAATATCCATAGCCTATATAATAACAAATTACAAACACTGAAGGCAAATCTTCCCAAAAGGTAGGAACAACTTTGCGAATTGGGGAACTCCTTTTGGAAGCTGCTGAGCTACCAATGGTCTCTTTCTTAGGCTATGCGTACTCAACTCCATCAATCCCCTCCTGGTCTAGGACTGCTAGATCAAGTGGCATCAGTGTGGGCATTCCTTTCTCCAGCCTTTTCTCTCAAAGAGTGGCCATGTGATCCACAGAACATTCTTTGCAAGAGGACACGGAGGGTGGAGGGAGGATGCCAGGACAAGCACGTGCAACGTCCTCCCCAAAAGCTCTTCCCCTTCAATCTTCCCCTAGTTTTTCCTGCTGGATCCGTTTTTTTGGTGGGGGGGCTACGAAACAAGCCCAAATGTGTAACTGCTCAGCACAAGAGATGGAAAAATGCAACACACATGCCAGCTTCTCCTCTCTCTGGCCGGTGTCTAGGTGACAATTGCCAACCAAGGAGTTTCAAGTGGCGACGGAGTCTTTAAAAAGGCCCCTAGCTCAAATTGGCCAAGTCAAATCTCTTTGGGTTTGTGCAAAGAAAAGAAACGGAGCTGTGTTCTAGGCCAGCAGCCCCCAACCATTTGGACACCAGGGACTGGTTCCATGGAGAGAGTTTTTTCTGTGGACTGGAGGGGGTGTGGTTTCACGTGCTGCCTGCAACCCGTGGATGGGGCTTTGCTTGTTTGCACAGCCCGGTGCCAGTCCATGGACCAAAAGTTGAGGCCCCTGTTTTAGGCCACATGGGGATCAGTCTACCCTGTATCCCAGGGGTGTCAAACTCAAGGCCCATGGGCCACATCCAGCTCATGGGGTGCTTAAATATGGCCTGTGAGGTAGCCCTGGAAACAGCAAAGGACCGGCCCATTGTGCCCCTAGCAGTGAAAACAGAGCTCCTCCTGGGCTCCATTTTCGTTGTCAGAGGGCTAGCAAAACAACCTTTAAAAAAAAAAGGAGAAATGTTTCCCCTTTTGCACTTGAGCATCTAAGAAGGGACAGGAAAGGAGAAAGGGAAGGAGGAAAGGTGAAAAAAGTGAAGGAAAGAAAGCAAGGAAGGAAAAAGAAGGAAAGAGGGGAAGGAAGAAGAAAGGAGAATGAAGAGGGAAGGGGAAAAAAACAGAACAGAACAGAAGAGGAAGGAAGGAAGGAGAAAGGAGAATGAAAAGGGAAGAGAAGAGAAGAGGAAGGAAGAAAACAAGGAAGGAAAGAAAGAAAGGAGAATGAAGAGGGAAGGAGGAAGAAGAAAGGAGAATGAAGAGGGGAGAGGGAAGGAAAAAGAACAGAACAGAACAGGAAGGAAGGAGGAAGAAGAAAGGAGAATGAAGAGGGAAGAGGGAAGGAAAAAGAACAGAACAGAACAGGAAGGAAGGGGGAAAGGAAGAAAGGAAGGAGAATGAAAAGGGAGGAGAAGAGAAGAGGAAGGAAGGAAGGAAGGAAGGAAGGAAGGAAGGAAGGAGAAAGGGGAATGAAAAGGGAAGAGAAGAGAAGAGGAAGGAAGGAAGGAGAAGAGAAGAGACTGAAGAGGGAAGGAAAAAGAAGGGAAGGGGAAGGAAGAAGAAAGGAGAATGAAGAGGGAAGGAAGAAGAACAGAACAGGAAGGAAGGAGGAAAGGAAGAAAGGAAGGAGAATGAAAAGAGAAGAGAAGAGAAGAGGAAGGCAAGAAGGAAGGAAGGATGGAAGGAAGGAAAGAAGGAAGGAAGGAGAAAAGAGAATGAAAAGGGAAGAGAAGAGAAGAGGAAGGAAGGAGAGGAGAACGAAGAGGGGAGGAAAAAGAAGGAAAGAGGGGAAAGGAAGAAGAAGGAGTATGAAGAGGGAAGAGGGAAGGAAAAAGAACAGAACAGAACAGGATGGAAGGAAGGAAGAAAGGAAGGAGAATGAAAAGGGAAGAGAAGAGAAGAGGAAGGAAGGAACGAGAGAGGAGAATGAAGAGGGAAGGAAAAAGAAGAAAAGGAAGGAAGGAGATTATGAGAGTGAGGGAAGGTCTGAGGAAAATCCTGCCTTAGCACTTGGTCACTACAGGTGCCCCCAACGTGAAGGACATTGAGCTGACCACACCCCACACCCTCCCACACACTGTGGCCATGCCCCTCCCCCCAGGTCAAACCCAACCCTGATGCAGCCCACAATGAAATCGAGTCCTTATCCCCCAAGAGCAATACAAACAATACAACAAAACCCACCTGGTTGACCAAAGCCCCAACTACAGTGAAACCGAAGAAGAATAGAAGCCTCATACTCACCTCAAATTTGCTCATGAACTCAGCAAAAATGCCAAAAAAATCCTCAGAGGTTGTGACTTTGGAGTCTTCTCCAAAGAAGGACAAGACTTTCCTGAATTCTTCCACGGCTTTGTGCTGGAGATCGTCCAGGGACTGGATGGTGGGATCTGCACTCTCCAGGAAGGCCTGCAGTGGGTGGCTAAGGAGGGACAACACCTGCTTGCTTTTCCAATCAAGATGAAAAACTGACCTTCTCACATTCTCAATGATCCAAGCAAGAGAAAGAGAGCCAGATTGGTACAGTGGTTATAAGGCACCTGGCTAGAAATTGGGAGATTGGGAGCTCCTCAGGCATGAATCCAACTGGGTGATTTTGGGCTGGTCACTTTTTTACAGCCCTCAAAAATGTCATCAAAAAAGTACAACAAAGAATGTTCTTCTGCGCCTACTCAGGAAGCTCAAACTGCCCAAAGAGCTGCTGATTCAGTTCTACAGAGGAATGATTGAGTCTGTCATCTGCACCTCCATAATGGTCTGGTTTGGCTCTGCAACCCCACAAAATAAAGACAGACTTCAGAGGATAATCAGAACTGCAGATAAAACAATGGCTAACAATCTGCCTTCCACTGAGGACTTGTTTACTGCACAAGTCAAAAAGAGACCCGTGAAAATATCTACAGACCCCTCGCATCCTTGACACAAATTGTTTCAACTTCTACCCTCAAAATGAGATGCTATAGAGCACTGCACACCAGGACAACTAGACACAAGGACAGTTTTTCCCTGAACACCATCACTCTGCTAAACAAATAATTCCCTTACCACTGTCAAACTATTAACTAAGGCTGCATTACTATTACTATAAGTCTTCTCATTGTTCCTATGACTATCATTATGTGTTGTACCTTATGATTCTTGATGAATGTATCTTTTCTTTTATGTACACTGGGAGCATCTGCACTAAAGACAAATTCCTTGTGTGTCCAATCACACTTGGCCAATAAAAAATTCTATTCTATTCTATTCTATTTTATGAAGGAGGCAATGGCAAACCACTTCCGAAAACCACCTTGCCAAGGAAACTCTAGAGATAAATCCAGGCAGTTCAAAACTGTCTTGAAGACACACAACCCAAAGTTAAGTGAATCACCCAGCTCCGAAGCCGTACATTTTTAGAAGGACTTCTGATACCAACACTGACATTGCGCATGTGTTCATGGCCACTCTTTTAGCAGCTCCAAGCCTCAATTTGTCTAGGCTGGGGGCAGCACTTGGGGTGAAAGGGGAGCAAGCAAATGCGCCAGTCTCTCCTAAGCGAGATAGGAAGGGGGAAAGAGAAGAGATTCTGACAATAGTCAACTATCCTTCAGCTTCCAATTCGTGACATTTCTCACTAAACACACCACCATAATTTGGTTACAAAATCACTGAATTTGAAACACCTACATCCCTCTCCTCCAATGAAGGATAGATATGTTCAACGCCAGTTTGTGTTTTACAAGTCATTTAGTGGTGAGGGAAGTCACCCCTGCTACAAGAATGAAATCTTTTGAGAAATATCTAAAAAAGGCAAAATATTATATTTCCCCTAAAAGAGAAATAAAAAATCTTAAGGGAGACAGAAACTCAGCAGCTTCAGCTCCCTTCCCCCAGCAGATAGTTGATGCCAGCCTATCTACAAAACAAAAGACCTTCAGCTCCAGGATGATGGGATTATCCTTCAGGGCAAAGCCGTTCAGCCGCAATAGGAATTGCCAACAACTCCTTCATTGCACCAGCAAACTTCAACCAAGATTGACTCAGATAACCTACAAAATTAGCTATGACCCCGACAGCAATCAATAGAATACATGCTCTTGCCACAGGAACAGGAAGCTCAAGTTCAAAGCCCAGAGAGGGTATAAATAACCCTCACCCTCCACTCCATGTGGTTAGCTGCACTAGCACCATGTGCTAGATCCGGGATGGCGAACCTATGGCATATGTGCCACAGGTGGCACGCGGAGCCATTTGTCAGGGCATGTGAGGCATTGCCCTGTCAGTTGACTTCGGCCTTATTTTGAGGCCATTTTCCACTCTCCGCAGGCTCCAGAGGCTTTATAGAAGTCTGGGGAGGGTGAAAACAGTCTCCCCCCCGCCGGAGGCCCTCCAGAGGCTTAGGACTTCCCTGAAGCCTCTGGTATGCAAAAGTGGCAAGGGGAGCAGAAGGACTCTAGGAGATTAACGTGTCTGTTTCCAGACATAAAACTTGCTGGAAAAACAACAGTTTTATAATAGAAATGAGAAGGGTTTATACCTCAGGATCCTCCCGCCGCCATCTCCCCATTTCAGTCCCCTAAATCTGGGGGCCATCCATTCCAGTGACATCCCCAATCAACTTCCTCTGGTCTTCCAGAAGATTCAAAGATGATCTAAACCTCCCAGATATTCCCTTCCCTCCACTCCATCTCTCACGCTAACTGGTTTTTTTTCCTTTTTCTGGTGGGTGGGTGGGTGGGTGGGGCCTGGCTTGATTTGTGGAACCAATCCCAGAAAGCCTCCCCTCTTCAACAAAAGGATACATCCATCACAGACACAAATCTGTCCTCAGGTGATGAAGGCACCATATTCTGGCAGGCGATTTCAATCTCGTGGACAGTGCGATGAATGTCATTGAGGTCAGCTGTTAATGTTCTCTGATTCACTAAGGAGAGAAAAATGGTCCAAAATGTCAACAGCTTCATCCACATCACCTTCTTCGTGAAGCAAGGAAAGATCTCCCTGCATGGACACCCATCTTCCATCACGCAAAAAGGAACAGACCTGAAGGCTGCTTTCTTCTCAGCAGGCTGCCCAGCTTCCTTTCCTAGGACAGCTGGTCCTTGACATTCCAGGGGTAGTTATAAAACAAACAGACATTGGGATCTCCAGAACTTTTTAAAATATATTGCTCACTTAGCTTTCCGTTAGCCACTGCTAACATCGTTAGAGTGTAAAAACCATTAAAGAGATAGCTGCCTTTATACAGTATTAATCAGTTAGGCAGTTGCAGGTGTGATAGGCCCACCCACCTGTCTCCCACCTGTAATTAGCTTTGTTGCCTGTGAGACAGAAGAAGAGGGAGGAGGTGTGGGAGGAAGCCAGAGAGAATGCTGTTAAAGCAACATCAGAGAGCTCAGCATTATTTCCTGGGGAGGAACAGCCCAAGCTGTGCTCGATAGGGGAGGAAGCAATAGGAGCATCGATTAACATGCCTGATGTAAAAACAACAAAGCTGGGTGGAAGGCGGGTGGATTGGCCTATCACACACGGAATGGCCGAATTGATTAATAGTGTATAAAAGCAAGTATCTCTTTAATGGCTTTTGCACTCTGACGATGTTAGCAGTGGCTAATGAAAGCTAGTGAGCAATATATTTTATATATATGGTCTTGTTGTATTCGGGTCTTTTCCCATGTAAGATTGAGATTGTCTTGGCAACGTTTCAGTGAGGTCTCACTCGCCATCTTCAGGCTGGGTTTTGGGCTTAAAAAACCTCGCTGAAATGTTGCCAAGACAATCTCAATCTTACACGGCAAAAGACCCGAATACAACAAGACCAGCATACCTACTAGTATAGATCTATTTCAAGCTATTTAGCTCTCATCAGCTAGCCATACCCTAACTGGGAATCAAATATATATATATTACAACTTTGATGGTGATTCACTTAACAAATAGCAATAGCACTTAGACTTATACACCACTTCACAGTGCTTTTATAGCCCTCCCTAAGCGGTTTACAGAGTCAGCCTCTTGCCCCCAACAATCTGGGTCCTCATTTTACCAACCTCAGGAGGATGGAAGGCTGAGTCAACCTTGAGCCTGGTGAGACTCAAACTGACAAATTGCAATTTGCAATCCTGCAGTACTGCACTCTAAGCACTGTGCCACCGTGGCTCAGTGTGGCAAGAAAAGTTTTAAAATGGGGCAAAACTCACTTAACAACATACATTTTGGGTTCCATTGTGGTCATAAATCAAGGACTACCTGTATCCACTTTGCCCTTGGCAGAGACTCCTAGCATCTCTCTGCCCACCAGGAGCTGATGGTGAATGCCCATCCCTGAGTAGGGACAGGCAGAGTCACATACTGGAAGGGACAGCAAATGATTTACTACTGTCAGGAATGTTTCTTAATTTTGGCCCACGTTAAGACCTGTGGACTTCAACTCTCAGAATTCCCAGAAGGCAGCCTGGGGAATTTACAACAGCTTGTATGGTTCCTGATGCCATGGTTGAGAAATATTGCGCTGAAGGAATGGCAGCAGGTCTAAGATGAGATGTGGGTGAAGGACTCACAGCAGGGTGAGTCTCTCTGGTGAGTCCCAGTTTCTCATTATGGAAAGGCCCTATCTTGCTTATGCAAATTGGATGGTGTAATGGTTCCCCTATGACACTGTTTCGCAACCTTGGCCACATTAAGACATGTGGACTTCAATTCCCAGAATTCCCCAGCCACCTATGAGTTGAAGTCTAGGTATCTTAAAGTGGCCAAGGTTGAGAAAACAGTGCCCCTATTGCATAGTCCAGGGACGGCAAACCTTTTCGGCACTGAGTGTCAAAAAGGGGGTGCGCTTTGTTGCACATATGCACACTCTTTGGGGCCGCAACCCAGAAAAGAAGCTGCCCAGTGGACATGCGCGCACCGGGAAATGAACTTCCGGTTTCCGATGCACACATGTGCACCTGCCAGGTAGTCCTCTGGTTACTGGGACGCATGCACTTGCAATGATCAGCTAGCTGGCTTTCATGCGCATGCCGGAAACAGGAAGACCAACTCTTCTGGTTTCCAGCACTGCTGCATGCATGAAAGCAAGCTGATCATCAGACGCCAGAAACCCAGAAGAGGAACGGGCAACGCCAAGCGTGCCAGGCAACATGGCTCTGCATGCTATGTCGGGCACAGGTGCCATAATTTTGCCATCCCAGGCATAGTCTGTCTATGCAATGGGTAACATTCCCAAACCTTTTATTTTTTTGTGAAACTACGAATGGATTGTTGGTTTTTAATTTCTCACAAGACGCTCTGGGCAGCCCCTGTCTATCCTGTGAAAACAGCTTCTATGATTAAGCCTGTGAAGCTTCTTTGATTTCAGGTGATTTCGATTAGCTGATTTTTCATCCTTTTCCTCCATCTGGGTTAGAAGGCTGAAAATGAACTAGACCACATGTGACCTGCTGAGTCATCCTTCCAGAGATATTTCTAAATTGCCTTCAACAGTGATGGGGTTTCTAATGTCCTGCCTTGAGTGGAAAAGTTGGGACACACTCAGAGATGGAATCGCCTTGAAATTAATCCCGTGGTAAACTGTAGAGTACGGTCAAACCACACCACAGGATATGTTTTATGACATTCTGTATTAGGCCATAAAGTGTTTACAATAACGCTTATGTCATAAAATATTGGATGAGGTTTGCCAAATTCCAATTCCACAGGGGTCATGAATCCCAAATTTTGGATGCATTCTGCAAAGTTAGCCCATTTGATTCAGCCTTCCAACCTTCCAAGGTCAATAAAATGAGGACCCAGGTTTTTTGGGGGAATATGCTGGGTGGAGAAGGAAGACCCTAAGAGTTAAAATTGCCAAGGTTAGAGGCCTCTTGGACAACGACAAACTAGTCAAGGGGGAAGAACCAAAGAAAGAGGAAAATTGTAACCTTTGGACAGGAATTTTCAGATCTAGCATTTCTTTCGCTGCAACCACTTAACCTTAGAAAAAGAACCTATCCGTTCAACCAAAGGGAGTCAATGGTCTTTCTTTCCTAAGGACCTAACCAGGGGCAGGCCTGACACCAGACCAGTGTCTCTCAAAGAAGCTACGTTTGCCAGGGAATTCTGGAAGTCCACAAGGTTGGAGACTCCTGCTGAAAAGCACAATGGGGCAGTAAATAAAGTCTAAGAGCTATTGCTATTGTTATTCAGAGATGGATCTGCCTTGAAGCAAGCCACTCTTGAAGTACATACCACAGTCAAAAATCAGCACCAGAAAAAAATTATAACATTTTGTACTTTTTCATAAACTGTTTTAAGATAATTTTTGTCATAAAAGTTGCATAAAATTTGCCAAATCCCAATTCCAGAAGGGCTATGGGTCTCAGATTTTGAATGCATTCTGCAAGTCAGTCTATTTGAAGTACCTTGGTTGGTTCAAAAGTCACAGCCCTACAATGCATCATTTCACCCAGGGTTATGGGAATGTAAATGGGCAGACCTGGGAGACCCACAGATTCTTTCCATCCCTGTTTCCCTATAAACCAGGGGGGGGGGGAAGCCCCATCCTTTGGGGTTTACCTTTGGCAGCATGTGGCACTGTGGGCAAATCCCTGGCAAAGCCCAGGAGCTCTGGGAAATGTTGGCTAAGCGATTTGGCAAGAATATGCAGAAACGTGGATTTCCCATCGACTGTTTTCGTTGTGTTCAGCTAGAATAAAGCCAAAAGAGAAAAAAAACAACACTGATCAGTGACAGGGTAATTCCAGTCCACACTGTGCATGTAGCTGGATGGTCCAGAAATGTGATCCATCATTGTGAAAAGTCTCCTTCCTTCTAAGTTCCAGGGTTTAAAAGTTGGCTGGATCCAGGGACCAAACAGCAGTTTGGCAGACAGAAAAGACTGCCACTCTGCAGTTTTTGGCAAAGCGATAGTTAGGGACAATTTTTTAAATAGCAAAAATTTATCCCTAGTCTTAGGCCCAACAATGCATTGCTTCGATCCTGGGGAGGACAGATTTCTCCATCAAGCTGACTGAGAAGGCTAACAGGGATCCAAGCCCCAATGGCCCCCTCCTCCCGCCACAATGGCTACTACAGGAAGCAGCAAACTGGGTGCTTTTCAAAACAGCCGGAGCTCATTTTCAGAAAGGGTCACATCTCCAGGATTACCCTTTGAGTGCAAATCTCCCTATAGGTCAGGGATGGCAAACCTTTTTTCCCCTCGGGTGCCAAAAGCATGCACGCGCCCACACTCATAATTTAATACTTCCCTGCACCGTGCTCCCTGCGCAGGCACATGTGATCCCCCACTCATGTGCACAGTTTTTTGGAGCCTGGGGAAGGCGAAAACACCCCCCACCTGAGGCCCTCCGGAAGCCAGAAATGGCCTGTTTTCTGACTTCCGGCGGGCCCGTTTTTCACCTTCCCGAGGCTCCCGAGGCTTTCCTGGAGCCTGGGGAGGGCGAAAATGGCCTCCCCCACCCCCCAGAGGCCCTCCGGAGGCCAGTAATGCCCTTCCAGAGCCTGTGCGTGAGCCCTGTACTTAACCTGGCATCACATGGAGACTCCTGGGAAAGGAAGGACAGCGTGGGTGGGCCAGCTGAAAATCAGCTGGCCACTGCATGCATGCGCACTGGAGCCAAGCTAGGGCAATGGTTCGCATGCCAGCTGATATGGCTCCGCATGCCACCGCTGGCATGCCTGCCATAGGTTCGCCATCACAGGTAGTTTGCCACTAATTGCCCCAAAGAGGAAGAATGTTTTGAGGCCGAAACATGGAAGATTAATGCCTTCCTCGCTCACTGACAAATCCCCTTTCCCCAGGCTGAAAAAAATCAAGGTTTTCTTCAAGCTTGCTAAGAACATGCGTTCAGCTTCCACAAATCATTTTGAAAACCCTTAGAGGAAAATTGTCTGCAATGTAAATCACCAGGCAGTAATTCAAGCAATTTGGAAATGATGAGGAAAAAGGTGCTTTGGACCTTTTCACAGCCCAGCGCCTGCCTGGATTGTTCCTTAAAGTCGCCTGATTGTGTTTAGGCTGAAGGTGGCTGAAAAAGAGAACGTGGGGGCCTTTAAGAGCTGCTTTCATATCTGCGGTATTCAAAGCTGCAAGATTAAGTCAAGGAAGTCGAGGGAGCAGCCATGACTCCCTGATCAAAGGAAGCATCTCGATGTTGTTTCACAGGCCACCCTCTGCTGGACTCACCTCTGAATCTGACGGGATGATTGAATTTGTGGTCATTTCCCAGGTTGGTTAGCAAAAACTCCAGATACCATTTTAAGCTCTACAACATAGGTGTCAAACTCAAGGCCCGCGGACTGGATCCGGCCCATGGGGTGCTTAGATCTGGCCCACAGGACCGGCATGAAATAACAAGATTGGCCTGCAATGCCTCTGCCAGCAAAAAGGGGTGAGGAGGGCCTCACACACACCCCTGAGCCCCGTTTTCAGCCTGGACATCCTCCTGCAGCACTCTGCCGGCCAAAACAAGGCATACGGGGGCCTCGTGTGGCCCCCTCACTCCCCATTTTTGGCCTGGACAGCCTCCTGCAGCACTCTGCAAGCCAAAACGGGATGTGGGGGCCACATAAGGGGTCCCCTATGCCAATGGTGGGTTCCTACCATTTCGGACCAGTTTGGCGAAACTGATATTGGTTTGGCAGCCTGGGTTGCTGGAACTGGCAGCAACCCAGGCCTGCCACGCCCCTGAATCGGTTCTCTGGGCAGCGCCATAGGTGCTGCTATCTTGTTTTTTGCTTCTGTGCATGTGCAGAGCAATTTTTATTGCATTGCGCATGCACGCACAGTGCACATCAGGCGTGAAGCACGCGTGCACGCCACGTGCCCATGAGCGAACCAGCAGTAGTGACTACTGGAACCAACCCCACCCCTGCCCCATGCCCCATTTTGGCTGTCAGAGGCACCACAGGCCAGTCCTTTGTTATTTCCAAGCTGGCCCTGCGGACCAGATCTAAGGACCCTGTGGTCCGGATGTGGCCCATGGGCCTTACGTTTGGCACCCCTGCAATAGACCAATAAGGAGCCCTGTGCATCTGGATCTTGCAAGACATCTGTGTCTGCTCTAGGCATTGGAAGAATATAAACATTAATTAAAGTGGAGAGAGAAATTTAACCTGTTAAATCAGCAGCAGAAAAGATTGTCTGGATGACAACAGCGATCATTGAGAGACCTGAAGGAGAAGGTCTCGCTCCTCACCTGGATCAGAGGATGGAGTTGCTAAAGGGTCAATGATGTCAGGCCCGCAGCCATCTTTTCTTTTGGATCTTTGGCCTGCCACACTTTCAATTATTCTACTATGCATTTTCTATTATGGGAAAATGGGGGGGGGGGGGGGTTGTACGGAGTTAGATGATATGTAGCCATAACAAAATTCTTTCTAGAAAGCCAAGGTCTTCCCTTGTCTTTGCATCTCTGCACCTGACCGGAACTGGATGGGTGGCACTGCCAGCATGGCAGTGGGAGATT